TTGTCTGATTAGAAACCTTAACTCTATCTGGAACCTTAATTACCTTTTGTCATGTAACCTAACATACTCACAGGTTTGGGAAATTAGGACAAAGACATTCCAATGGGGATATTATTCTGTCTATCACCACTGGTAATGACTGTGCTGAAAAGAATTCTGAGGCCATGTGTTTTTTTTTTTAATATATTTTATTGATTTTTTACAGAGAGGAAGGAAGAGGGATAGAGAATTAGAAACATCGATCAGCTGCCTCCTGCACACTCCCTACTGGGTATATGCCCGCAGCCAAGGTACATGCCCTTGACCAGAATCGAACCTGGGACCCTTGAGTCCGCAGGCCGATGCTCTATCCACTGAGCCAAACCAGTTAGGGCCTGAGGCCATGTTTACATTCATCAGGAAAGAGAATCACGGCTAATTAGCAATATTTCCCATGGATTCAAAGAAGGGAATGCCATATATTTTCCATCCTACTGTCGATGCAGGTTAAAAGAAGGAGAATTTCAAAATATCTACTGAAAGGGGCAACTTGCCAGTCCATGTGCTCCAGCACTAGCTGCAAGGCCCTTACAGAGTTTGCTCCAATGATTTCCCTTCTCTTCATTAGCTGGAGCTCCTTGTCCCTTACTGGCAAGCTGAGCCCCTCCCAGGCTCCAGGGATAACCCCGTCCTTCATGATCCGTCCCCAGTGGCAGGATAGCAACAGGTCTGGTGCTAGGTGCTGGACATCAAGATAGGAGAGGGCACAGCACTACGTGCAGAGCGGATATGCTCACCCTCGAGATGAGGAGACAGATGCAAACACATGGCCACACAAGGTGAAATATTCTTACTTCCCAGGCATCACTGGTCCTGTGCTTTCTACCTCTGTGGCTGTGCTGAGACCACCTAAAATGCTCTTCTCTCTTCTGTTACTCTCAATATTACTCATTCTTCAAACACCATTCCCTCATTGATCCGCCCCAGCTGGAAGAAAATCAACTTCTCATTGTTCTTTCCTTTTTTAATGTACCTGAGGCTACTGATGTTTGCATGTTCCACCAGTACTTAAGTGAAGACCCACTCTGTGCAAGGCACTGCACCTGACACTGGGGACATACTAGGGCTAAAATAAAGATATGGCCCCTTTTCATGGAAATGACAGGCTAGTGGGGAGGCAGATATGAGTCAAGGAATCACACCACTGTTAGAGCTAAAGGGGCACCTGGGATCATTGTGGCAGTGAAAAGGTACATGCTATTCTAAGAGTTATGAGGCTGCCTTAGGGAAGTGACAGTTGACCTGAAATCTGAAGGCCGAGTAGAAATTAACCAGGTGAGGAAGAAAGGGAAGGGCATTCCAGGCAGAATAGCTGTGTTGGGGGAGAGCACAGGCTGTTAGCGATGCTCAGAAAGGAAGCCCGTGACTGGAGAGGAGGGAGGAGGAGGGAGTCGGAGGTGTGGAGCTGGAGGAGGTGGGTGAGGTAAGCTCTGGGCTCTGTTCTGCCTCCCAGTAACTAACTGTGTGCCCACACTTTGCCCTTACCCCGCTGTGAGCGCCTTTGTTTAGGCTAGGGTGCCCCTCACATTATAAGCCTCCCAGTCCCCTCCACCAGCCCTTTGTGTTTAGAATTATATAAGAAATTTTGGCTATGATGTCAAGTTACAGGCTGACTTGAATAGGGATTAACAAAAAAGTGGTGCACTCCTGAGAATGCGGGGAATGGCCACTCTGTCTTGAACAAAAAGGAGCTGAGACATATAATCAGCTTTCTGTTCCCCTATGATAGATCTGACCAAGGTGAATGCAGTGCCTCTCTACCAATCTGAAGTGTCCAAAAATGTGTGCATTAAACTCTAACACACTTAGATCTGAAATTTGGGAATTCCTTGGCAAACTGGGGTGGCACCACTATAAGCTGGGGGGAGGGGTGTCTGGAGATGACAGACTGGTGAAATTTGTAGTCCCCATAGTGGCTTGCATTAAATAGGTACAATAATTGATAATAAATATTAAAATGAATTTTAGAACAATGACAGCCATTGTATCATCGACAGATGCATACATTTAGGACCATTTTCTGGGAATCTTGTCAAGAAAGTGGCTTAATGTTGTGCAAAAAGCACTGGCTGGCCCTAACCGGTTTTGCTCAGTGGATAGAGCGTCGGCCTGCGGACTGAAGGGTCCCAGGTTCGATTCCGGTCAAGGGCATGTACCTGGGTTGCGGGCACATCCCCAGTAGGGGGTGTGCAGGAGGCAGCTGATCGATGTTTCTCTCTCATCGATGTTTCTAACTCTCTATCCCTCTCCCTTCCTCTCTGTAAAAAATTAATAAAATATATATTTTTTTAAAAAAGCACTTAAAAAAAAAAAAAAGCACTGGCTGAGATGCAGGAAGACAATATTCTGGTTCTTGCCCTTGGCCTGCCTGTCATGAAGAATCTCCTGGGCCCTGGGCAACTCTTCACACCACTATAAGCCCCACCTTCATTATAAAGTATGGTGACCTCACATATTGTCGGAAGAAAGGCAGAAGTTTAGCAGAATTAGATCTACCTGAAAAATGCCCAAGGAAGGCATGCTTTTGGAGCCTCACACACCGCACGCCATCTCTTATTAAGCCCAGCATTGCCAAGTTCACCCCCATTGTTGGGTGACCTCACATATTGTCGGAAGAAAGGCAGAAGTTTAGCAGAATTAGATCTACCTGAAAAAAAAAATGCCTGAGGAAGGCATGCTTTTGGAGCCTCACACACCACACACCATCTCTTATTAAGCCCAGCGTTGCCAAGTTCACCCCCATTGTTAAACAGAATTGCTGTTGACTCAACTGAACACCAGATGAAATGGTTGGCTTGCACTCAGGAGCTATGTTGTAACAAAAAAAAAACAAAAGGCAATTTCTCTTTAAACACTGGAACCACATTCAGTGAGGTGAGATGCTTGCTGAGAAGCACATGGTCCTGACCGAGGTAACAGTCAGATACACATCACCCATTTTCCCAACTGCTGTTTCTGTACCTGCTAGGAGAAGGAAATGTTACCTCCTCACCCCTGCCTACCTCAGAAGCATCTCTGAGGATAACTGTGGGTGCCTGGTTAGAACACTCCAGATAGCTCAAGTTGGTGAAATAAAATCTCCTAAATCAATTTGTCACGTCAACACTAAGTTTTATGCAGCCAACATTTACAATCAAGTAGCATCAGTAACAATGACAGAATCTCAGAGTTCTGTGTACTTCGAAGAATCCAGTCCAATTCCCCACCCAAATAAGGGTCCCATCTACCACAAAGAAAAGAGCAGTGCGGACATAGGTGTACTTTTCAAAAAGGTGACCGATTCCTTGTTGAACTTAAGAGACATTTTTTGTTCAATGCCTTGATTTCTGCTTCTTTACAACTTCCACTCACTGATTTTAATAATGTCTTTTGCAGCCACCACAAAATAAGTATTCTTACATGTGACAGCCCTTCAGGTATTTGAGGACAGTAATCATGACTCCTCTCAGGGCATGGGTACCAAAGCCCTCTATCACCATCCCAGACACCTGCCTCCACATATACGAAATTTACCAGTGTCCCCATTATAGTGTGGGCAGGAGAGCAGGGCCTGACTATGTGTGTTTACTTTAATGGAAAAACTCCATTCTGTCTTATAATAATGACTGCAAATACAGAGTCATTGTATCTTGGGGCTATAGGTTGAAGAGCCCTTTCAGATATATCCATTTTACTGATACAGACCATGGACAAAAAAAAAATCACCACCTTAATTCCATAAAAAGGAATTCAATTTTTAAAGTTCCCCATCATTTAAATATTTGAAATGATTCCGGTGTGGTTAAGTTCCTGCATGCCTGCCATCTCTGGAGTTTATTTTTTTTTAAATATGTATTTTATTGATTTTTTACAGAGAGGACGGGAGAGGGATAGAGAGTTAGAAACATCCATGAGAGAGAAACAACGATCAGCTGCCTCCTGCACACCCCTCACTGGGGATGTGCCTGCAACCAAGGTACATGCCCTTGACCGGAATCGAACCTGGGACCTTTCAGTCCGCAGGCCAACGCTCTATCCACTGAGCCAAACCGGTTAGGGCTGGAGTTTATTTTTCAAGGATCCCAACTAAGCAGAATCAAGATCAGGGGTCCTCAAACTACGGCCCACGGGCCACATGCAAATACAAATATTGTATTTGTTACCATTTTGTTTTTTTACTTCAAAATAAGATATGTGCAGTGTGCATAGGAATTTGTTCATAGTTTTTTTTTAAACTATAGTCCGGCCCTCCAACGGTCTGAGGGACAGTGAACTGGCCCCGTTTAAAAAGTTTGAGGACCCCTGATCAAGATACTGAGATGTTTTATGTTTTCGAATGTTCAGAGATAATCAAGAATGTCACAGTTATTTCTCAAGAATATTATGACCTGGTGAAGCCATTAACTTTACTATAAGTAAGTACATATGAGAACAGACTGAGGCCATCTCCCTAACAGTTCTAATAGCTCCTGAACAAATGGAGTCTCCTAAATTTCCCCAGTTCCATGGTTCTTAAAAGACCAATGGTTGAGTAATACTACCAGTGACATACTTCTTTCTGCTATCTGCCCTGGTTACTTTCTGGGCCTTGCAATGACTAGGATGTATAACATATATAGGTCGGGATGTATACTGTGAAATCTGTTTGTGCTTTTTTGCTAAGAGTTGACAAGTTTAAAAATACAGTGTAGGAAAATTACTTGTAGTTATGAAGAAAGATGGGAGAAAAGTGCCAAATGAGCTTGTAATGAGGATTTCTCAGTGGGAACATATGTAAAAAGAACATTGAGATATAGACATTATGATAAACAAAAACGATCAAGCTAAGTTCTTAAGAAGCTTAAAGATACAAGATCCTGCTGATTATATGTACAATAAACAGCTTATTCTCTTTGTTCCCTGTTAATGGATCAGCATACTTGGCTTCCCAGAAACATTTCAGACAAAACACAGTAACACATTAGTCAGAAATATAGCTTTTTATTATAATATTTCATAATCTAAAAACTTCCTTTTTAATTCTTGGAAGAGAATATTCCAGCTTCCAGACAACTGACCAACCCTGTAAAATACTGGAAAATGGTGTCTAAGAAATCTGAATTTTGTAGTTAAGAATCTGTAACCTAGTTTGGGGGGAGGGGTGGGGAAGAATGAAAGAACAGTTCAAATACAGATCTTTTTTCGGTGCAAAACAAATTAGATCCATTTTTCAGTTTAACCTTGAACATGTTTTCCCAGAAACTTTGGTTTTTCTTCCAAAGAGAAACTCTAAGGTTGGCTTCCCATGTGGACAAAATTTTTTTTTTAAATAAGACCCAAGTGACACATGCCACACGGCTCAGGCCATGGCATGTAAGTGGGATACCCTTCCGAGTGAGCCAGCTTCCACGTTCCATAGCAAAGTTATGCATTTCTTGTGTGAGGGTCAGACTTTAGTTGAAATTTAAAATAATTGGTTTGTAATATAATAAATCTTAAAATCATCGAGTGAGCCAGCTTCCACGTTCCATAGCAAAGTTATGTGTCTAATGCATTTCTTGTGAGAGGGTCAGACTTTAGTTGAAATTTAAAAAAATTTGTTTGTAACATAATAAATCTTAAAATCATTGTCTTGTGTAATGTACATAGAGTAGATATGCCGTTATGGTGCTTTCTGGAGATCACTGGGTACCACAGTCAAAGAGAGCTTGCCCTCTAGCATGTTAAATGGACTTTGAAAATGTGTTTTCACTAAATAAAATGAGAAAAACAAGTCTGGTTATACCACCTTTAAAAACAAGCTGTGATTGCACACATGTTACGGGGACAATTAGCATGCAATACAACCAACAAGTCAATTTTTTAGTATGTAAAAGGCTAAAGTGAAATCATGGTATAAATACCAATAATAAGTAATCTTGGGGAAGATTAATTCTCTAAATTAATCATATAATATTACAATTTTTACAATGTTAGCCAGAACAGTGATATGCACAGCAATGTTTTCTTCCACTTGATAGTTGCCTATACACCACATGAATTGCCCACACCCATGAGTCAAAAGTCAAAGCCAAGATTCAAAAATCAACATTTTCACTGTAACAGGTTAAAAATGTTTATATAATGATAAGTTACACTTTTCAACTTACTGTCATTTTAAGTAATTGCTTAATTACCTATTTTTAATGCACTGCTAATCTGATGCTTATTGTAATAACAACCATAATTCTACTAATGTTAATTAGGTTACAGTTTTAATTTTTAAAATGAGAGAATTCAATTTACATAAGCATACATTGTTTAAAAACCACCCATCACAAACACACACCTTTTCCATGAGTATTTAAAAATAAATTAATATACTTGACATATATATTTTATATGTTATATATATATATATATATATGTATATATTTGTGGACATAATTATTCTTACTTCTGGAAGGATGTCAGCACTTGTAAACTCTGCAGGAGATCTGATGATAACACTAAGTTTAAAAACATGAAAATTCATTCTTGAAGAAAATCATAAAGCAGGAGGTTCTTAACAGATGGGTCTTTTGGAAATAAAGGCCATTTTAGGGCAGGAGAGGAGGACAGTCTCAGATTCCAGATCCCACATGTACTGTTTATTTCAGAAGCTACTTTAGGAAGCAGTGCACAATGACACTTCAGACAGCTGGCTGAAAGGTAACAGCATATATTTTAATCCTGAAAGGGCACAGAAGCAGCAGGAGGTGGGCAAGGTAGGCCAGCAAGGAGAAAGCCATGCCTGCAGCCCACAGAGAGGCCGTGGACATGCCAGGGGAAGGCCTTGGGAAAGGGCTGCGTGTCTCCAGGATGGCTCACAACGCACTGCACATGCAATTCGTTGACGTCCAACCATTCAGACCCTGAGCCCGTGATGTGTTTTATGTCCTCCTGCAACCACAGCGATAGAGACAGCTGTTAAGATAGAGGCTGGAGCATGGTGTTAGGGTGCAGAACACCCAGCCAAAGAAGACAGCAGAGGTGCACCAAAGTCTCAACAAACATGCATCCTGGGAAACAAAAAACCTGAATCAAATAAACAAGCTGGAAAACAGTCCATCCAAATGAGAACTGAGGTTGAATAGAGGAGTCCCTGTAGCAGCCCAAACGCCAATGTCCTGATTAACCAGAATACACTGGGAAACAGGAATTCGTATTTTGGAGGCTTTCAAACTAATTGAGGGGAAGGTTAAAAACAAACAAAAATAGTTTGTTTGTTTTTTTCACTGCTATTAAGATAATTTATATTCCCGTTCCTCATCTCACAATTTTGAGCAGGGGGTATAGATGAATCTTTTTCAGCACCTGACATCTTGTGTGGCCTTGGGTCTGAGCATTAATCAGCACTGCATAGAACACCAGATGCAGAAAGTACTGAAGACTGGGCTAACTATTTTAGAAGATGGAGCTTTGTTTTACTAAACTTTTGGGAAAGACTGCTTCCTTTTTAAAAATTATTTCTGCAATTTGCCTCTTGCTTCTACAAGGAGCCTGTAATAAAATTCTCGTTCCCCGAGGTGCCCGTTTGTTAAATTCTGGTTAATCCACATGCTTGCACGGACAGGAAGTAAAGGTGTTAGCCCTTTGCTTTCCCATTGTGTCTTACTATGGGATGTGTCTAAAAGGACATTATTGTTGGCCCCTAGAACAACATTCCCCAAAGCCTAGGAGGACGGTCGAGGCCACCCACCCTTTTAGATGATGTTCACGAGCGCTGTTGGCTTTTTCTTGGCCATTTTGGGCCTGATGTTGCCTTTCCGACTTAATCCCAGAGGCTCCCCTTTCTTCAGCGGTCTGCAGAGTTCTCTTGGGGTTTCGGCCTGGTCGTGAATGGACTTAGCAGGCTGCATGCTGGCCCTCTCATCCTTGGCTTTTCTCAGGTAGCTCCTTCCCTTTGGATGAAAATGAGTCTTGAGATCAGGGTGGTTACACGCTGCATGTGGGTGTCCTCGGCTTCTGCAGATGGTCGGGTGGGAGGAGGGAGATGAGCAGAAAGATTTCTTTAAAAACCTTAAAAGAATGAAAGCTACCTACAGCACAATCACTCCTGCATGTTAGAGCAGTGATAATGCTGCCAGTAAAACAAATGACATATATTGGTTTTTTTCTTTCCAACAATTCTGGTGACCTTCATGAAGGGAACACGTGAATCTGCATTCTCAGCGACATATTGCTAGTCCTATTTATCAGTGACAAACACTGAGGAACAGAAATTTAAATGACTACTCAGGATAATGTATACAGTTGGTCTATAGAGAAGGTGGGAGCAGAATCCGTATCTCATGAATCTTTAAGTAACTACTAGGGGACTCAGAAAATCTGTAGTACAGTTATTATAAAGTATGTGATTCATGGTATAAGTGCATATATATAATACAGTACACATACTTCATTAATAGTACCGTAGAGCTATTATGACTATACTATAGCGTAATAAGAGAAAATTATACTATATAACACTATATAAATACTCCTATAGTACTTTCGTATTGCCATAGACTACTAGAAAACTAGCATAGCTAAAAGTCACATAAGCCCTGGCTGGTGTGCTCAGTGGTTAGAGGGTGACATCTGGATGTCACCAAAAGTCTTGGATTTGATTCCTGGGCAAGGGCATGTGCCTGGGTTGCAGGTTCACTTCCTGGCCATGGTCAGGGCATGTGCGGGAGGCAACCAATTAATGTGTCTCTCTCACATTGATGTTTCTCTCCACCCCCCCCCACTCTCTCTAAAAATCAATGGAAAAAATATTTTGGGGTGAGGATTAACAAAAAATAAAAAAGTAAATAAAAAATAAAAGTCACACTCACATTTTAGAAAGTTAAGTACATAAGCTGGTGAATTTTTACCTGAGACCCTCAAATCCATTTATATTATAGATGCCACATAAAATGCAACAGGAAAATGTGCAAACATTATCATATGGCCAAAGTATAAAAAGATATACATACAGGCATTTGGGCTTCCTATTTGAAGAGCTATCTGTAAGCTAAAGGAAAACAAATAAGAAAAGACATTACTTAACTTGAAGGTTGAATTTGGTTTATAAAATCTTGCTTAGATTTTAAAGAAACAGTATTCCCACTAAGGAACCAGGAACTATGGGCAGCACTGCCCACGGTGCCATCCGCCACAGCGGTGAGCTGGCCCCTCTCATGCTCAGCCTCCGCTTACTCAGGGATCCCCTCTGGCTCCCTGTTCTGAGATTTCCAAGAAGCCAATATCAGCAGAACTAAAAAACTTCAACAAGCCAAAGAGTCCCCCAACAGAGCAACATTTGAAGAAACATGTTTTTAAAAATTGGAATGATGTACCATTATTTCTTGGTTGATTCAGACTGCATTTGCAGCTAATTTACTACAGCTGTGGTTGGTCACAGTGTCTCAACTGAGGGGAAAATTGGCATAAAATGTTTATTGCCTAAAATACGTAATTTCTAAAATGAGAGCATATGAAGACCAACAACTCCACGATTGTCCCTGAGGCCATCTATCCTTGAAATTATTTCCCACTCCCATTAAAATATCTTCATGCGCATTCGTGGCCACACTAGGAATATCACTTTCAGAATAAATTGATAATTATCATTTTGTGATCCAGATGTCACCCTCCATTTTACAGGCCAACCCAGTGTATTCCAAACCTTCTGTTGCTGATCTCCGTCACTAAAGAAGTGGTAGGAAGACAAGCAGAAGATGAGAATGACAAAGAAAATGTAGGGCCCCATGTGGCCAAGACACATGCCCCCTGCTAGACTAAACCTGAGAAGCGAGTCTCAGCATAAGATTCTTCTGTCTGCAGCTTGAGCTGTAGTCAGGAGCAAATCAGAAAGAAGTTTTCTTAACTTTTGAGGGTCATGTCCCCAAGAAGGTTTGCCTTCTGACTTTTGACAATCAAAAGTCAGCCTTCTTGTTGACCCTGTTCACACTGGCTGGCTTTGGCATGAGGTTAGTAAATATGAACAGAAAAAGGCACCTTCCTTGCAAGAGAGTTGTGAGATTATGCAACATACAAAGAAGGTGGGCCAGATGGCTCCAAAATATAACAAAATAATAATTTTTTCACTTTACTGTATGGATGTATACATATAGTTTGTATATGTACTGCTTATATGTATACACAAGACCCTTTGGGATTTTATGAGAGAGAGAGAGAGAGAGAGAGAGAGAGATAAGAGAGAAAGAGAGAGAGAGAGAGAGAGAGAGAGAGAGAGAGAGAGAATGAGAGAATATGTATGTATATGCTTCCCTGCTTCCCTTTCTGGGGAAAAGATCAACAGTGTTTTCAAATGTTCAAAGGAGTCCCTGACTGTGTTTACCTATGCCGCCATCTTGGTCTCTCCTCCAATTCTCCAACCTCAGCATTTATGGATGTAACTAATGGACCCTGCTGGGACCTCAGGAAATAGGAATAATTTACTGTGCATTACAGAAAAGGAAATGCATAAATAAAGATAGGTAAAGATGAGCATCACATATGGTATCATAAATTGTGCATGTCTATACATCACACACTGGGTAAAATACTCACCATGCAACAAACACAATTAACCCTCAAAACAACCCTAAGAGGTAAGCCTTATAATCCCCATTTTTCAGATATGGAAAAGTTAAGTAGTTGGTTAAAGCCTCAATGTTTTACCAGTGTTAGGACTGAACTTCAAACTTCACTCTGCACGGCCTTCCTAAAAAGTGTGTGTTTGTATACATAAGTATACAAGCAAGGGAATGTAGACACAAAAAGTTAAGTGGAACCCATGGCTGGATCAGAATTTCTCCTGTGATCCTACAGATTATGAGGTTTGGGGTGAAGGTGGGACCGGTTATCACACACTGTGGACTTTCATATGCTCTCCTCCCCGTGAACACAAGAGGCCACTGTTCCTTCGGGCCCCTAGAGCCTCAGGCAGTCCTGCACACTCAATTGCTCAGACCAAAACCTCAGATTCATTCTTGATTCCTCTTTTCCTCACCCGATAAATCCAATCCTTCAGCAAGGCCAAGTGGTCTTATCCATTCTACTCCCAGAACACATTCTATTCCCATCACTTCTCTTTACCTCCACTCTATCCACACTGCCACCTCCTCTCCCCTGCCACACAATAACAGCCTTCCAGCACATCTCTCCTTCCTGCGCTCCTCCATTCAGTTCTCCAGAAAGCACCAGACTTTCTGCTAAAACCCAGGTTACCTCCAACTTCAAACCTTTCAATGGCTTCCCTCTGTGACCTACAAGGCCCAGCATGACCTGGATCCTTCCCAACTCTCTGACTTCATCTCCTACCACTCAAAGGTACCAAGCTTGTTCCCTCCTAAGGCAATTCCTATTCCCTTGCCTAGAACATTCCACTTGCGTATTTTCAGGGCTGGCTCCTCGTTATTCAGGCCACAGTGCAAAACTGCCTCCTCAGCAAGGCTTTTCCTGAAAGGGTTTCACTGAAGTAGACATCTTAAATGTATCATCTCACTTTTTTCTTGATTAGTGGTTATCGCTTTCAAAATGATCTTCGTTATTTGCTTACTTGCTCATTGTGAGCCCCTCCTCACTGAGAGCAGGGACCTCTTCTATCTCATTCACAGCAGTTTCCTCAGCACTCAGTAAGCGCTGCGGCAGCCCCAATAAACAAGTGTTAAATGAATTACTGCTAGTCCTAATTTAGCAGCCTGCAGGAAATAAATGCAACACTTAAAATAAGATTATCCAAGCTGTTTCATGACCTTCTGTGTGAGCAGTTCTGTCCGTGATTTTGGCAGATGGGATACTGGGTCACTTTGTGTCTAATTCGACAGCATTTTTCAGAGCATGAAGACAAAATATCTGAGTAAGCATAGTACACTTTTAGAAACCAGCCAGGTGAAAAAGAACCAAAATGCTCAAGGGGATTAAGGGAAAGAAACAGATGCCGAAACATTATTTTAGAAAAGGCACTAAAAGTGAGGGGGCAGCGGGAGGAGATTTTTCTAGAGCACAAAAGAGTCTTAGAGCTAGAAGACACCTTAGAAAGAATTAATTTATACACCAACTTAGAAATGTCACTGCTATCTGGAGGTGGTCATGAGAAATAGAGGAAAGAGTGGAGGAAGAGAACTGGGGTGGATGGAAGAGGAAATAAAGAGGATTGACACTGTTTTTTATGTGTAGCCTTAGCTGAGATGGTGGGAACCAGGCCAGGCTGGGCATGGTATTCCCAGCTGTTCTGAAAGAAGTGGCTGATGTGTGGGGGGAGAAGGTCAGAATGTTCTGCTGATCCTGGGGTACACTGGGGCTAGGAGCTCTCCTTGGTGGGTGGGCCTGACGCTCCAGAAGCCTGGCCTCTCGATGCTCTGGACCTTCACTAAGCTGGGCCAGAGGGTAATAAAGACACCATCCAAAGTTTCTCCTGCTAAAAGCACCCAAGTTCCTCTGTGTCTCTAGAGCCACAGATACCCTGGGAGGCCGGAACCAGCCCTTTCATTATATCAAAGACATGGATCCTAATTTCATAGGTGAGTGTCTATGATGATGATGAAGTAGACTAAGTAAAAAGGAGACATGTCTCAGGGTCTGCAGACTGTCTCATAATGTGGTACATTATGGTTCAGAGCAGAGTTAGAGGATTACACATGAGCACAGGGGAGCCTACATCTGCTAAATCCTTTCATAAATCAAACACCTCACTCTTGGTCTTCTCAGAGAGATAATACACTCCCTCCACTAGTGAGAGTTCACCTCCCAACAGCCCGATCATGCTCTACTCACAAGCAGCTCCCACATCCAAATTCCCTGTTATACTCTGAGCTGCACTTTATTTGAATTAATCAAGTCTTCCCTTGGTAAATCAAGTCTGATGAAGGCAGATGATGTCACTCATATTTGGGACACAAAGGGCATGGACATAAATATTCATTAATTTCCTATCATGTTTCTTTATATGTATGTATGCATGTGTATATATGTGCATATGTTTATGTGTGTGTATATGTATATATGTTGTGTGTGCATGCACATATACATGTAATTTTATATATACACATCTGACTACAGAGCAGAGATGCTGTTCAACTGTGGGTCACATGGTATAGCACGACAAGAAATAATGACTGGCTACTTCTTATAAAAGGTGTTCAATTTTCAAGCTGGAAAAATAAACTGAGCAGAGGAAGTGGGCACAGAAATATAAATAACAGAGAGAACTAATGGGCTTCCTTGCTTCCCCCTGGCCTTCCACTGTTTTCTTTCTAATATCCTCCTGGCTTAGCATAGAATTTTAACATTTCTTAGCCCTGGGTTACTTAAAAGCCTGCAGATTGAAAATATTCATGCAACACTTCAATTTTAGAATTCCTAACCACCAAAGTCAGGTGATGAGCAGAGAATTTAAGAGGCTAAAAGATCTTATAGAGCATCTACTCTAACTGCTTCATTTTTACAGAAGATTTAAAAGCCCAAGAAGACAAACTGTCTCTTTGGAGGGTCTCTTATTCTACAAGCATAAAAACGCTTCTACCAACTCAGCCTGGCATGGAGTTGGAGGGTGAAGAACTGGAGACCGTGCACAAGAATTCAGCTTACTTCCGGGTGCCTGGGGTTCACCTGTATCAATTCCATAACACAGGCATGTCCGGGCAGTACTCTCAAATGATGTCTAGAGAATCCCTAGAAGTCACTCCCCAGCTCCCTTTTCCTCTGCCCTGAACCGGATCTCACCAAACCTAGGACCTCACACTCTGGCTGGACCTGCGCGACTTACCACACTTACCACATGCTCGCTGATGTCCCGGCAGAAGCCCGAGGCCTGCTGGCTCTGATAGTACTCCAACTGCTTTTCCGCCAGTTCCACCCGCTGCAACAGGTTCTCAATAAAGTCCTGGAGCCGAGCTTTCCCTTGAACCTCCTTCTCAGCTGCTGCTTCGAGGAAATGGTTGAATGTAACAACTTCTCTGCAAGGAAAAATGAAAAAAAAACCCACAAAATGGAGAAATGAGACAGGAATTCATTCCTTCGACACATTTTATCGAGTGTCTACACTGTCAGGTACTGCCCTAGGCTGTGTGGTCACAGCAATGATAAAAGAGCTAAGATTCCATTTTAGTGTTTACATTTAGAGATTACAATTTTAGTAGCAGAGAGTCACTATAAAATATACAAAATAATATATGTCAGGTGGTGATAAGTGCTATGGAGAAAGCTGAAACTGGATGCAAGAAGGCAGAGAGTGACAGAAGAAGGGAAGGGGTGAGTGATATTTAGAAAGCAAAGTCAGGGATGACCTTTTGGATGGGATAACATCTGAGCAGACACCTGGGAAGAGTTTAGGGTGGTGTGCAGATGGGTCTATGATACAGCAAAGAGGCCTGGGTGGTGGGTGCAAAGTGGGGCAAAGGGAGGTCGGTGGGAGCAGACAGTCAGGTAGGGCCTCACAGGTCACTGTGGTGATTCCCTATTTTATTACAAATGAGATGGGAAACCATTGGAGAAAAGTTCTGACTTATATTTTAAAAGGAGAGAAAATACTACAGGGAGGGAAGGTATGAAAGCAAGAGGCTGTGCTGAATGCAAGTGTATAAAATGAGTCATCTTGTCCAACAGTTGATGTTTGAGCTAAGAATGAAACAGCCCAAGAAATGCTATCTTGAAGTCAATCCAGGGTCCACTGGGAAAGCTATTCTAGTTGATGTAGGAGAATAATTGTGCACATTGCCCTTCTCAAAAAAGTTGCACAAAATACCCCAAACAAATCCTCTTTTATCTTCATAATTCCTTGTGGATTCACAAATCCAGAAAAAAATTATTTTATTGCTATTTTATATTTTATTTTTATTGCTAATGCAAGTATGAAAGTAACATTTTGGTAGCCATCTCTGGAGCACCTCTATGCATGTGTGTATGCATGAGCACATGTACACACACACACACACACACACACATGCTCTCTCTTGGTGCTTAGCCTGTTTCTCAGGTCATGTTCCAGGTAATCAACACTACCAACAGGTGTGCAGTATCACAGTTCTCCTCAGCCGATTTGCCTCTCTTAGTAAGAAATCATGTAGATCCTTTCAGCCATCTCCTCTGTATGTTCTGCCACTTCCACTGTAAATAATTGATTCCATAATGTTAATAGCTGTTGGATATTGTATTTTCTTTTGTGTCTTCAATATCTCTCTCAGCCTTCGAGGAATGACCCCTCATTTTTCTGGCCATGCTCAACTTATACAGCAGCAAGATTTTAAACACTATCCACTCCCCCTCCACCCTCTTTCATTGTAGATACATGAATCCTATTGTTAAAAATCTAACCTCATGCAGTTGTTCTAGAGCAGGGGTGGGGAACCTTTTTTTCCTGCTGAGGACCATTTGGATGTTTACAACATAATTTGTGGGCCATACGAAATTATCAATTTAAAAATTAGAATGTTATATTTGGTTAAACGTTTAATTAACTCACCACAATGCCTTGGCAGGGCCGGACCAAATGATTTTGAGGACCTTATAATGGCCCATGGGGCAGACATCCCCCACCCCTGTTCTAGAGAATCCATTAAATTCATTGCCTACTTTGCATCTTTTCAACCTCCACTTGATCTTTATGTTCCACTGAGCTCCATGATTTCTTACGAGTAGAAACTTCAGGGAAGGCCAGCTCAGGAGTCACAGTTTCACAGAAATTCTTTGCAGGGAGCTGGCCGCGGCTTCCAGCTCTTCTCTGTCTGACTAGTCAGTGAGCTGCTTTTGTAATTAGTCATGATTTTTCTCTCACAAATATATTATGTCACACTTGGCCATACTGAGACTTCCTATAAAGTCAAATGTCTCTGCAAAACCTTGGGAATTATATATTTATAAAAATAGAAAAGAGACTGGTTGTCAAAAATGATTCACTGGAAGAATTGCTCATTATACCAGCCACCATTTTTCTATTTTCCTACCAGGGATCAAACATAAACCCGAATCCCGTAATAATTCCATTATCTTTTAGTAGTCAAGAAATAGTCACACATGAGAAATAAGAGTCTTTTGGAAAAGAGTTTTCTTTCATCATCAAGTTTCAAGTTTATTTCCAGATGTTTCCGTAAGAGCCCTGAATAGAAGATGTGGGCTTTCCAAGCTGCTCAGGCCATGGACATGAGCCAATTTTCAAGCTCCACTGTCATTCAGCTTTGATCTGCCTCCTAGGTGAGCCATGAACCTTAAGTAGCAGCAAAGAGTGGAGGGTCTGTCTGAGTGCTACATTCGGCTTTCGTAGCTCCAACTTACGGTTGAGATCCTTTGGAGAGAGTATCTTCACATCTCAAAAGCACCACTAAAAGCATAGCTCAAGAAATGGCTCCTACATCCTCTTCCCAACAGCAAGGCTTTAATTGATTTGGTGTCAAACCAATTGCAGAGACTTCCTGGGTACAATTTAGGTTTTTTTTTAAACTATAGTCCGGCCCTCCAACGGTCTGAGGGACAGTGAACTGGACCCCTGTTTAAAAAGTTTGAGGACCCCTGCAATTGATTCGGCGTCAAACCGATTGCAGAGACTTCCTGGGTGCAATTTAGGTTGTTAACTGAATAATGAAACAGTCTCCAAATGGTACTTGTGGGAAAAACAACCAAAAACCTATAAACCCTCCTCCACCAAAAACACAGAAAAAACAGCCACTGTGTTTTTTCAATTCATTTTGGTTTATAATACATACTATATTTATCTCATGATAGAAAGATTTCACACTTATTATAGGATACTAGAGGCCTAGTGCACGAAATTCGTGCCCTGGGGGGGGGGTCCCCTCAGCCCAGCCTGCACCCTCTCATAGTCTGGGAGCCCTCGGGGGATGTCCGACTGACGGGGGGAGTGGGCTAAGCCGTCAGTCAGATATCCTTAGTGCTGCCACAGATGCAAGAGAGGCTCCTGCCACCAACGCTGCACTCGAGAGCTGTGAGCCCAGCTTCTGGCTGAGCGGCACTCCCCCTGTGGGAGCACACTGACCACCAGGGGGCAGCTCCTGCATTGAGTGTTTGCCCCTTGGTGGTCAGTGCACATCATAGCCACCGGTCGTTCCGCTGTTTGGTGGATTTGCATATTAGCTTTTTATTATATGGGATATGAAAGCTGACCTATTTAGAAGATCTAACTGAGCAAGGGCTGAATCAGCTTTGTTCTCTGCTCTAAGTCCCTCACTCAATACAACATATGACACATAATAATCAATAAATGCTTGTTGTAATGAATGTTTAAAAAGGACAAGGAGGAAAAAACAAACAAACAAAAACACTCAAAATCCCATCACCCAGAGGTAACTACTGTTACCATTTTTCCTAGTCTTCTTTTTCTCTCTGCATATTTACTATTCTTGGGCTCTCTGTGCTGTTTAAAATATAAGACAGCAATAGTTGACAGCTTAATCCCACAGGATTAACATCTCAAAATCAAGAAAACAAGTCTGAATGCATTACAGCTTATGACTGTGGCTGTATTTTTAAATCATGTAATGTCTTGCTGCTGGTTCCATATAAAACTTTTACGAATTAACGTGAATGCTCCTAGCTGTTCGTGGAGCATTATGTCATGTTGGCGAAGAGAAGCATCTTTTCCTAACTTTCCCTTCATCCAATTATCTTGTGCCCTGAAGCCAAGAAGTTAATACCCTTTGTATTTGTCAACCAACCTGGCACCAATGCTAACCTAATTTCAGTTTATGGATGTTTCACATCAACTTAAAAAAAGAGAGAGAGAGAGTTGAAACAAGCCTGATGATTTAATTTTAAAAGAGAAGTTCCCCAAGACAGGGGCTGGAGAAATCCACCCTACTGAGATTGTGTTTGGGTATCCAGATTAATGAAAACAGTAACAAAGCCCATGACTGACTGCGGAGCGGCATGTGCGCACAACTTTAGATCCCCTTTCACATCCTGCTCAGTCTGGATGAACAATGTCCAGAAACACCTCTCATTTCCCCAAGGATCTGGGGAATTTCCTGAATGGAAAAGAAAGAATTAAACCACATTGCATTTGTAACCTCTTTAATAATTATAGTCCAAGAGTAAAATACCCACTCACTGGATTTCAATGCAAGGGAGAGTGAACTACTCATTGATATGATTTCAGATTCCATGATGCCATTAACCTTTAAGAAACTACCAACTGTTGAATTTTGGCATAGTATCAAAGCAGAATATCCACCATTCTCTGAAAATGGTATTAAAATACCTCTCCATTTTCCTGCTTCATATCTGTGTGAGACTGGGTTTCCTTCATCCACTTCAAACAAAATAACAAATTTGCCACAGATTAAATGCTGAAGAACTGAAAAGGTCCAGCTGCCTTCTCTTGGGCCAGGCATTAATAATATTTGCAAAATGTATAAACAATGCACTCTTTTCACTGAACTGTTTTTGGGGAAATTGTTATTTTTTTTATAGAAATGTGTTATGTATGTTAGCAAGAATGGATTTCTTATTGCTATTTGTAAATGAATTAATAAGTGATTTTCAAATTTCTGTTTTAATTTCTAATATAGTAAATGTCCATAGATAAAACTCACACATGCAAAAGCTTTTTGGGGTCCTCAGATTTTTTCAGGAGTGTAAGAGGAAGCGAGGCCACAACATTTGAGAACTGCCTCTTTCTGTGTACCAGAGTGATCCAGAACCTCAGAACTCTGAGGAGGGTGGGCAATGTGGGCTCAAACACAAGTAAGATGAAGCCACAATCCATACATTTAATTATTCCATTATTCTGTCACTCAACAAACATTTATTGAATGCTACCAGGTACTGGGCTTAGTGTTGGGGCACTCGTGAACCCATGGTTATATTCATGAAGCTTACTGTATAACCCAGGGACCAGCCACCTGTTTCTGTAAAGCGCCAGGGAGTCAATGTTTCTGCAGGGCATATGGGCTCCATCACACACCTCAACTCTGCCTAGTGCAGTGATTCTCAACCTTCTTAATGC